ACTAGAGTGTACATATTAAGTAAAAGCCTCCAATATTGATTTCACAATTTCTAGATATAGAACCCCTATCTTTCATGAGTTCTTGTGATTAATTAATATCACTGCTAAAAATGTTCAGCTAATTAATAACTAAAATGACCTGCTTCACCTTGCAGCCATTAAGTTCTCTTATATCTTTGTCTAATCTGTCGAACCTGAAAGATTACCAGCTTTCTGTTACTATGTACTTCCTGATTTCGATCAACTCATTTTTTAATCATTCATTAATGGAAAAAACAGAGCTGACTGAATCTTTCCCATAAAAGATGGCTTTTTGTTCTTGCAGTTCTTTAAATTCGTTCCAGTTCCTCAGTGTTGTTCTTGCATTGAGAAGAGGACTCAGTATCCCATAATTGTGGACGCATGAAAAACTGAATATGAGAATTTAACCTATTTCATCAGTGTCCCCCTTTTTGTATACGCAAGGAGTGATCACCTAGGATCCTGCATAGGATAAAGTTCCTTATTGTATAAGTAGGTACCATCTGCTATGAAGTTGGACAAACTGAAATCTACACTTCTGACTTTTACCAGCTTATTAGATACCAATCACTTGCCCTCTGTAAACTTACCACTTTCCTAATTGTTATCCGCAAATTACATCGGTTAAGTGACTTTTTTACCAAGTTTTTTTAACAGAAATATTAATATTGTAAAGCTGACAAGTGGTTTCCCCAAGAGCACACTGCACAAATCACTGTTTAGCAATGATTTTTTGTGTGTATACATGCTTTTGGAAACTTAGCTATTAGGGAATTTGGAATCATTCTATATGTGTGGTGTTAATTTCGTATCAGCTGAGTTTTTAATCAAACTGTTATGCAGTACCAAGCAAAACAACTGTCAAAGGTCCATTTATATCAACAGCATTAATTTAAGCAATCCAAAGTTTAATCACATCAAAACACGATGTAGGTTACTTTGAAAATATTTTTACCCACAAAACCATTTGGTTACCACTAACTATATTTCTTTCCTCCCTTTATTTATGGAGTCTGTCATAGACATTGCATTATTTTATTTGGGAGTGCTGTCAGCTGAACTGGCTATAATTTCACAGGTCATTCTGTTTGCGCTGCTCAAATATTTCCAGACTAGGAACTATCTACAATTCTTTTGACGTCTTCCCCCACTTTTCAAGGTCCGTTAAAATCAACAGTAATGATATAGAACATTCTTAAACAATCAGCTCTTTAAAAACTACCTATACTATATCCTTGGTCACTGGAAATACAGATATTTTTTTTTCTCTATTTCACTTACTTTTTGTAGTAAATTTCTGATTGTAGCTATGAAGGAATCTCCGGAAATCAAAATCCTTTCTAAAAACTGTGATATGATTCTTATGACAGCGGTGTGACAATGCCGGGAGAACATCTCTTTCCATTTGCTTTACTGTTAAGGAGAAAATTTTCCAGCTTTATTCTCTCCCCCTTCATCAGCTATTTTGGTATTATAATTACTGGTTATTTTACTTAGAGTATGTGTATATGTAAAAGAAGGAAGAAATCTTGATTGTCACAAGATTCTGGAAAATTCTGCATATAGTGCAGGAAAAATGCAGCAGAGCTTATAAGCAGATCAAAAACTCCTTAAAGCCTTATGGATTTTTTGGGGGAAAAAACCCTGACATTATCTTCTTGAGAGATAATAGGCTCTGCTGCTCCACTGTTCTACCCTTGCATTCACTAATTACAAAGTTAGCTTGTAGCAAAATCTTTTTCTTATTATTTTTTTCTGAATGATTTATGCCTTCCCTGGGTAGATGGCAGTTTTAGCCCAGATAAGTGACTGGCTCCAGTGCAGTGATTCTTAGGTTCTTTATGGATTTTGAATTTTCCCCAGCATTCTCTGTTCTTGGAGTTTTATGGGCCAATAGGCTAAATTTATCTCTTAGGTTTAAGATGGCTTTTTTTCCTAAATGGAGGCAAATGTATTTGTAAAGAGATCTAAGTAGCAGAACACTATTACTTTGTGTAGCAAGTCAAAGGCTCTGTTAGCTGCTAGCACAAAAAGCTATCGTTATATTCATAATTCCCCAAACATTGCTAGGGAGTGAAGTTTGCCTTCTGTACTGTGCAATAGTTTCCTATTGGTACTTTTATTTGAAATGTTAATTTTCCTTCTTTTTTTTTTTTTTTTTTTTTTATATTATTAACATTATCTGTTTGGAAAAGTGCATGTGTTTCTGTGCCCAGATTTTGTGAGGAATCACCGCACTAAGGGCTTGATTCACTTCTGCCTTATTCCATCTTCATGCCGCTGTAGCTCTGCTGATTACAAAGCACAGCTTAAAACTGAAGTAACACAGTGGTGTAGTAAGATCTAAATGTTAATTGAAATGATGTTCATTCAGTTTAATTCTTCTTTACTGAGCCATAATACAGGGAAGGAGCTGGAGGCAATAAGAAAATCACTGGAAGTGCTAGGGTAGCCAAATTGGATACATGGGATGGCTACCAGCAGATTTTGGAGAACACTCATAGCCTAATACTATTATAGGGGCTTTATGTCTCTTTTCTGATTCCAATACCTGAAAGCATTTTACAACACGGGTGGATATTAAGGGCAAGAACGAAGCATCTGCATGTTAAAATGTGATTAATAATGGTGAAAATAGGGAGCTCTTATCTACTCTAAGAGCAGATTGAAACTACAGGTAATTAAAACGGCATCGAAATATGTAATGTGGTTTTCTAAAAGACATTATTGCAATCTGCATCCAATCTTGCAGAAGTACATGCTTCTGCACACCTTTATCGATATGCTCCACGAAACTACTAATGTGTTTAAAGATGTAGATTGCATCCTTTGTATGGGTTTAAGCATCGAATATATGTGCCTCCTCGTTTCAAAATGCTTCCTTTAATCATTCTGTTCCTTAATATAGGCCCCATGTAAAATAGCTACCAGAACTCTTTTCATAAAGAAATGCTGGAAAATATGAGGTCATTAGAAACCTTCAACAAATAGAATTCATTCTGGAATGTGCAATATAGGCTTGATCCAGTCAGTTTATCCACATTGATTATGAAGTAAATATATTTGACGGTATCACTTTATATTCAATATCAATCCACCAGTGTTTCAAAAAGAATCATTTAACAATGAGTAATGCTTGATTGTTGATCTCTGCAGTAAATTAGAATATCCTAATTTAATAGAGTATGATCTGTTATTTGCCAACAAACATACAGATTGCCTTATAAATCATGCAGTAGTGTGGTTATAGAATAACACTGTACTGAATTATATTTCATTACTCCCTATTGAACAGTCATGTTTCTGCCATATAATGTAATTTTCCATCTTTTAACTTAGTTTCTTTTACTAACGGAAAACACAATTTAGACCTGAGGAAAAATATTTACTGGGGGCAGGCAATTAACTATGCATTTCAGGGAATGGCACCAAGTACGTGAAAATCATTAACATTTTTTTGTTGTTGTTTTTCACCTCACTGTATGTACCTGTTTATGTATTTAATGAATCATAATGAGTATAAGGCCACAGCTGAGGAAATCAAAAATAATAGGTAAGTCTGTAGATTGATGTGGTTCCAGACACAGGCTTTCTGTAGTGTCTATTCTTGTTCACATCGGCCACTGACACTTCAGAAAGATGTTTCTCCTGAACTACTCTTCTGTTAATGAATCAAAATACTAGAGGTGAAGTATAATACGTTTTTTGTTATTATGTTATGAGTATTTATGCTGGTTACCATGCTTAGAATACATGTTAAGGAGTCATACGCTCCCAAAATATGGAGCAGGAAACTTTTGGAGGGAGACCAGGACTTTTGTACTAATTAAAAATAGCTAAGAACTTACTGAGCAAGCGGGGTGGGATTAAAGAGTTAAGATAATATTACATCCAAAATCATTCCTACAAACTGGGAAAGACTTAAAAAATTGAGGCAGTTTCCGTGGTAGAACTGAAAGGCTTTACCACAGAGTATATCCCACTTTTTCAGCATTTGGGGAAAGGGATAAATGAACATTCTAAATAGTAACCTGGGTTGCTACAGTACTTAAGAGCATATTTTTAGCACATACTAATTTGAGGATGTCCAGTTGGATTTGGCAAGTGCCTAATTCACATTTTGGAACATTGAGACATTGCTTTGGAAGTTCCATTATATGCTTAAATCCTTTTGAAAAATTTGGCCAGGGATAGGTACCTGATTTCAGTGTATGATCGAAGCTTGTTGACTGCAAGTTCCAATGGTTTGAAGTTCAACAAGTTCTTAAGGCCTCTTACATCCAGAGGACCCAGGAACCTCAGGCAGACTCGTGCATGGGAGAAATGCAAGGGTACGTGTACAAAAGGCCTCCTAATTGTGAAGTAAGATACCTTGTGAACATAAGTAGCTCAAATATTACAGTAGCTACAAAAACCTGCAGTTAACTGTTTCATCTTTTTATTTCTTTAGGGGTTTAAAAATTTCCTTTCATCTTTTCAGATGGGAACCTCTAACAAGCTCAGCACTGGCCTCACACTGTTCCTGTAGACATCATTGGGGGTGTTATCCTGGGCTTAATAGGAATAATTAGAACAAACCTGAACACTTGGAAAAATCCCTGTTGACCTGTTTTGGAGTTTCTGACATGTAGAATTAAATTTTTAAAGGTTTAAGTGAGAAGTCTTTTTCTTTTATGAAAAAAAAAAGAGGCAACTTCTTCACCCATAGAAAAAGAATCACCAACAAAAAAAACAGCCAACACAGGCTTTTCCTTTGAATTATTAAAAAAGGTAACGTGAGGTACCACAGTCTTACCTTTACAGTTCGGTGCATGTTGCTGCTGGTGCTTGTTACTACAAGCTACTTGATTAATCCTGAGGGAGAGGATTCATTTCATCTTCAGTGAGATCTGAGACTATCCAGTCTTCAGTCAGGAAATGGTCCAGTGATCCAGTCGTGGTGTAACCTTGCTGTATTTCATTTTCTTTTCTATTTGTAGCTGGACAGTGCCACTTCTCTCATCCAGGCAGCTAAAAATCTGATGAACGCTGTGGTCCTTACAGTGAAAGCATCGTATGTGGCTTCTACTAAATATCAGAAGGTCTATGGTACTGCTGCAGTGAACTCACCAGTTGTATCTTGGAAGATGAAGGCCCCTGAGAAGAAACCTCTAGTAAAGAGAGAAAAACCAGAAGAATATCAGACAAGAGTGAGAAGAGGGTCCCAGAAGAAACATATTTCCCCTGTACAGGCCTTAAGTGAATTTAAAGCTATGGATTCATTCTAAAACACTAAGCTTTACCAGGAGGGTTTTATATTCTTTTTGTATGCATACCTGCCGACTTGTATGCGTCTGGCATGGGGTGGGGGGAAGCAGTGTCAATTTGCATGCAACCTGAGACTCTATTGAAGTAACTAACTTTCTGCAATGCCAAAATTTAGGGCATTCTCTTCTGATGTTGAATGGACTTCTTCCAAGCGTACTTTTTAAACTAAACTATAGCATTAAATTGGCCAAAGAATTTGCATCACGGGGTACGTGTGAGTTAAACAATAAATTCAAGTCTAAACCCAGAAATTTTTATGCATGCAAGAAACATTAGGTTGGCAGGTATATTAAGTGAAAAAAAAAAAATGGAATTGTAATGGTAGACCATAAAGCTTGTATTGCTTCTGTTCCAGTGCAAAAATGTACTAGCCAATATGCTTAAATGTGTGGCCCAATAATTAAATGATATAACTTTTAAGTCATCTTCATTATAGTATGTGAATTTTTAAAACAGATACAAACTAATTCATCTTAAAAATGCTTCTTTTAAACCATATTTTGTTCTTTATATTCTAGTAGTGTTATGATTGCTCACATTTCAATTAATCCCATTAATATGACCAGAGGTTTACTTTTGCCAATTGAAATCCTTATAGGTGGAGTATGAAGCACAATATGGTGATTGACATTGCCTTTTATATTATGATTATTATGATGATTATTATTATATTAGTAATAGAAGACCTGGTGGTGGAATGTTTAGAGACATGGAAACTGACGGTGTGAGAATTTAGAGGCAAATATGTAGGTGTAGCTTGGATTACAGGTATCTGACATACCATTGTAACCACTAACTCAATAAACTCATTTAACCTTGGAATCCTCAATATGGCTCATCTCTTTTAATGCACAGATATCTCCTGCATCATAGTTGATGTAGACAGCGATTAATTTTGCCTCATGATTCCTTTTTTACTTTTCTTTTCTTTCCTTTTTTTCTTTTTTTTCTGGTGAAGGAAAGGCAACATTACTTTTTTTTCTCATTTTTTTATAACAGGGATAGCCAAACATGGTCAGTGGGTCAAAACCAGAGTTAAAATTTGAGACAGATTTATACCTCAATACATGTCAAGTGTGGGATGAAATTATTTGTTTAAATACAACACTTCAGAAACAGCAAAAAGAGAGTTCGATTTATTAAGCTTATAAGGTTGACATCTCAGAACCTTGGAAATCATCTGTTGTGCCACACTGTATAGCTGTGTATACAGGCCACTGTGCAAAGAAATGCAGTATCTGCTTTTACTCCCTTTTAGCCCCAACAGCTGGCTCTACTACAGAGATTGTATTAGTGTTATGAAAAGGTCTTGGTATATGGGAAAATAAAACAATGAGTATGTATTTATTTTTCATATAATTAAATGCTAACAACTTAAGAGAACATTCATGACCTCGTAATGGATTTGAACCACTGTGACAAACAGTGAGATATACCATAAGTGACATGTATATCCCTTAGGGTGTTTTTAGAGAGATGTTTGGATTCTTGCCTCAGGTATGCTGATTATTCCTCAGAATAGCAACGTACCAAATTTTGTTCTATTACCCTCCTACACGATCTTTCTAAAAAATGTACTTTCAGAGGCCTTTTAGGAAATTACTATTTTTACTTTGTTTAGTTGTACTGTATAATAAAAAGGTTCCCCAGTCAGAACTGGAGACTGTACACATAATCAAAATACATTCGAAGATGTGGGGAAGTCCTTGAAGAGCTTTCCCTATATTGCCCTGTAGTCTGACATAGACTAGCATTAATTGTGATACCAATAAGCTACGTAAAAGTAATTGGGATCTTTACAAATGAAATTACAGAGACAAGAGATGGATACTGAGTTTGAAGAAAAAAATAGCAAATAACAGACTGGCAAAAATGTCCCAGTATGGTGCATGAAAAAAGAAAAAAGGCAATTGGCCCCAAATAAAAGTCATAGCATAGAAGCGTTTTGGTCTGGAATTGTGGTGGATTAACCGAATGGTTGCTTTAAAATTGTATTGCTGCTATAAGGGCATCTCAAACTTAGAGTTTAGAAGAAAGCATATAGACAATGAGATCTATGAACATATCTTGTAGAATCCATCCTCTCCCTGGATTAAGGCTCCACGGCTAAAGAGGAAGATTGTAATACAAGGAATCCATTACCAGTCACCCAGTCAAAATAGTGACAGTGTCAGTTAGCAAAATTCTAAGGAAAACGTGTCTGTGAATGTAAAACCCAGAATGATATTGGGCAACATAGTTGGCTTGAATTAGAGTCCTACTTTGAGATGGATTATTTGCCATTTGAAGGGGCCTATCTGTGCTCTAATTATCTTCATGGTAGCATGATAAAATTTAATGTTGATAAATGAAGAGTAATGCACATGAAAACAAGAACCAAAAACCAACCAGAACATACCAGTTCAGAGCTCAGCACGTGTTGTAAAGCAAATAGAATGTTAAGAATGATGAGAAGAGGTTTAATAAAGAGGAAAATGCTGAATAATATTATCCATCAGGGATGTGCATATGTTTGAATACTTCATGCAGTTTTTATCAACTCATCTGAAAGAAGAAATGGTGTAGGATGGAAACATACATGGAAGCATGAGGATTACTAGGTCTGGTACTGCTTAAATCAGGTGAGTCTCCAGTTTCTTCAGGGTCACCAATAATGAGGCTAGGAGGTGAATAAATAAGGAATAAGTAATCACTGGTCCTTACAACTCAAAATTTAGGAGTGACTCAATGAATTATCAACCAGCAAGTTCAATATTAAAAAAAAAAATTAAATAAGTAAATTGTGGAATTCATTTTCACAATGTCACAGTTACCACAGTGATGATAATTCCATTGACTGCACCACCCAAGAATTCATCCCACAGACTTGCCATCTTGAAATCTTGCAGATCTTACAGACCTAAATTTAAGACTAATATAAAGTGTAGGCACAAAATAATGTTTGTGGATATCTGGAAATGTTCACTATAGCCAGTCCTTCACTGGCATAAGGGAACTCGTTATCACTAGCACAGTGTAATGAAGAACTGCTGGACCTCCACAGCTATGAACAGAAAGCTGCACCTGTTTCTTGTGACTATCACCTTGGTAGCCAAATATATGGCTACCATACATATTGCTACATGCATACAATCTTGAAAATTTTCAAATTGTACCTACAATGCAAGAGAAGCAATTACATTGCTGTTCCTAGAAACTGCAGTTATATGTTTCTTGATGACAGAATTCAGTTATTTTAAAATAATTATTTCTTCTAGCAGATGAATATACAGCAAATGACTGGTGTGAAGATCAGCACAGAGGTCAGGCAGGCATCCCTGAGCTAGGGGCAGTTCTATCCTAGTGTGGTCTTCAATGCTGTGGTCGCTCTTCTTGTTATTCACATGTGAGGACTTGTTTCTTCTCTACAAGAAACTAGAAGCCCAAGTTACAAGAGTGAGTTGCATGTTTCTTCCAGAAATGGCTGTATCTTTTGACCTGCAGCCATGGCAAGAAGACTAGAATCCTAGAACCGTAGAATCATTTAGGTTGGAAAAGACTTTTAAGATCATCAAGTCCAACTGTTAACCTAGCACTGCCAAGTCCACCATTAAACCATGTCCCTAAGCACCTCATCTACTTCCAGGGATGGGTGACACCACCGCTTCCCTAGACAGTCCATTCCAATGTTTGACAACCCTTTCAGGAAAGAAATTTTCGCTAATGTCCAATCTAAACCTCCCCGGGTACAACTTGAGGCCATTTCCACTCGTCCTATCACTTGTTACTTGGAAGAAGAGACCGACACCCACCTCACTACAACCTCCTGTCAGGCAGTTGTAGAAGACGATAAGGTCTCTCATGAGCCTCCTCTTCTCCAGACTAAACAACCCCAGTTCCCTCAGCCACTAGTCATAAGACTTGTGCTCCAGACCCTTCACCAGCTTTGTTGCCCTTCTCTGGACATGCTCCAGCCCTTCCCTATGCTTCTTGTAGTGAGGGGCCCAAGACTGAACACAGTATTCGAGGAGTGGCCTCACCAGTGCTGAGTACAGGGGGACAATTCCTGCCCTTGTCCTGCTGGCTGCACTATTCCTGATACAAGCCAGGATGCTGTTGGCCTTCTTGGCCACCTGGGCACACTGCTGGCTCATGTTTAGCCAACTGTCAACCAGCACCCCCAGGTAATTTTCCTCTGGGCTGCTTTCCAGCCACTCTTCCTCATGCCTGTAGCATTGCATGGGGTTGTTGCGACCCAAATGTAAGACCCAGCACTCAGCCTTGTTGAACCTCATACAATTGGCCTTGGCCCATTGATCCAGCCTGTCCAGATTCCTCTGTAGAAGCTTTCTGCCCTCAAGCATCATCCAGATCATTGATAAAGATACTAAAAAGAACTGGCCCAGAACTGTCCCCTGGGGAACACTACTTGTGACTGGCTGCCAACTGGATTGAACTCCATTCACCACAGCTGTTTGGGCCCAGCCATCCAGTCAGTTTTTTACCCAGCAAAGAGGAAAGGGGTTTGGCTTTCCTCCATTTTAAGAAAATATGGGAAAAGGGCTAGCAGAATATTTCAGTTTATAATATACTTCCTCAGCAAGAACAGCAGCCATTTTTTGAATTAAGAAGTCAGAGAATAAAGAAAACCTGGGAGCTTTTAGATAACTTTGAAAATAATTTTTCTAAGATTCCTTATTGGTTTATTTATTAAATTAAGAATTTGAAAGTGAAAAGAAGAGTTAAAATAGCTATATTCTGGCTCAAAGAGCTAGTAGTCAAGGAACTACTGAGCCAGGCATATTACTACAAAGGAGCAGATGTTTTAGATGGGGCAAAGAAAGGAAACCTGAGTGTAGTAAAATAACTTATTCATAAATAGCACTTTTTTTATTCTTAATCCCCAGTGATCTCAATGACATCATTAAACTTATACATGAGTTTAAGTGCTTGACTGCATATAAATGATGATATTCGTATG